ATACATATATATATTTTTTTCAATCTGCCTTAACTTTGTTTTAGAAAGGAGAGCCATTTTCTTAAATCAGAAAATAAATTCACTCTAAACAAATGTTTTAATTAGAATTTATCAGATATTGGCATAAATTTGGTGTACCCAGTACTTTCACAGACAGTATTTAATTTTATCCCTGAAACTGCCTTGAAGTTGCTAATAGCCCCATTTTCTGATGAGGAAAACATGAGATTCTCTCTGATTCTCTTACCTGGTATCTTACAATGAGTAACTGCATTAGCCTACAGAGAAACTCAGTAAAGATTTTAAAACTCTGCTGAGGCAATAAATTTGAGAAGAAATAAGATTCAACAGGACTTACTTGGAAGATAATATTTGTGGGGTACAACTTTCCATTTATCAAGTGATAACATTATATGAGAGAAAAGATAAAATAAATGGAGAATTTATTTTTCAGTATAACCCCAATTTGGAAACATAGCAATCTCAGAAATGTTGTGTGATGTGTTTCCTTGTTATTAAGCTCATGTGTGCTTGCAGAGGGGTTCTAGTCACATGGGCACAGCTCAGAGATTTGGACCCACCCTCTGAAGAATACGCAGAGAGGAAGTTGGTGACTGTTGGTGGTGTTCCATGTCCCAGCACAGTGTAGAGTGCTTTCTCCTGTATCATTTCATTCACAGTCGCAACCACCGTGACAGATATCTACACGTTTTATTTTTACCAGTGAAGACTCTGAGGATCAAAGTAATTAACTAGCTTATCAGAGGTCAGACAGCTGGTTAGAAGTGATCTTGTGATTCAGACTCAACTTGGCCTCATTCCACAGCCCTTATTTTTCCAACTCTCTTACACTGACTCAAAATACAAAAGCTAGAAGGGAATATAATATTTCTCCAAGAAAGTGTGGGCAGCATAGGTTTAGACTTGCTTAGCATATCCCAGAATCTCTAAAGAGATACATTTTAAGGCAAATGAAAAGTATTGTTTTATATAAAATACATAGTAAATCAGTGAAATTTCTAACTCCAACAGGTGATTTATATTTTAATTTTTGAAAGTTTAAAAATTAATGTATTATAATTAAGGAAGATATTAAGACAAAGTGGTGTCATTATGACCAACTTTATGAGACTAACATTTACGACTTCCTGTTAAATGTCCGTTGGTGGTTTGGCAGGATATAATCTTAAACTAGATGAAGCATGGGTCTGAGGCCATGTGACAAATTTTGTTATTACTTCTAAATGCTATTGCTAAGGGGGAGAATTGATTACCTCAAAAACCCCAAAGAATTGATACTTGATATGTGAATCTTACACAATTAATTCTCAATTACCTGATAATTAGAACAGACAGTAAAACTGGCAGCTAATTCAAAACCATTTCTATAACATTGGAAGTATCCTTAGGCTCACATTTGAATATACTTGGTCATCACAGTTCCAGAATTTACTGGGTTTAAAGGGAAATAAACTACACAATCATATCCAACTCCAGGAAAAAAAAAACAAACCTACTATACTCTCCACTATTCATCTCTCTATATGCCCACCTAAATTTCCCTTTCTCCCAATTTCAAGATAAACACAGACCGCTTAGTCTTTAATTCACAATACCCAATGATTGGAGAAGCCGCTTCCTGCAGATTATTCACTATGTTTTTATAGCATCTCTGAGTAAAAATAAGGAAAGCAAATAAATGTTCTACTTCAAAACACAGAAACCTCTGAAGAGACTGCCATGTGAAGTAAATAGAAACAGGAAATATAAGTAACGTCAACAAATAAACCATATAAGCAGAGAAGATATCACAGATAATTGAAAAAATTATTCATGATGTCGATGAATATCTTTTCATAGCTGCTTTTTTCTTTCTTTCTTTCTTTCTTTCTTTCTTTCTTTCTTTCTTTCTTTCTTTCTTTCTTTCTTTCTTTCTTTTACTTTTGGTTACATTTTCTCTAGTAAAGGAGGGCTAAGGATTGTTTTAAAAATGCCACAGGCCATATGTTTACTGTTCTGAAAGAGGCGGTAAGCATCCTATTGGTTTATAATTGGTTCTGGTAGACTAGTAGGGTCCTTTTGTTTTTGCAAGCGGAGTGCCCAGTTCCTGTCCTTAATAAATAAAGGAACACAGTTAGGATAAGCAGCAGAGAGATTAAGCCACCTGCACTAGACAGCGCCTTCAGTTCCCGAGGCAAGGAGTTCTTAAATAAGTGTATTGTTCTGTGCAGTCCTCCTCTGTAGTTAAATAAATTCAACTTCAATTTTCTGTCATTCACCATGACATTGGATTATGAGGCAAAAGGCCCTGAATGCCTACAAGAAGAAAAGAAGCATTGGCTTTAACCACCATGCAGATGTAAGGCGGAACCCATGGAAACAATCCAAAATTCACAACATCAAACTCTACTAAGATGGGACGGCGCTCTTTGCAGATATTAAATAAAAAGCAAATGATTTTCAATGAACAAGACAAAAAGAGCTCTTAGCCTCTCTTCATACAAAGCCAGCTGCTTGCTGGATAGCATTACGCAGGCATCAGATTTGGGGTAATTAGTCATTTAAGAGAATCCTGTTATTCTGAAAGGTTTCTAGAACCTACAAAAATACAAAAGGTATTCTTAGTTCTTTTACAGAAGAATATAAAACTTTACAGTCATTTGGAGGGTATATTAAGTTAGTGTAATGTTTTTTTAAAAAAACAATAAAGAAAACCTTTATAGTGGGAAGATATTTTGAGCTTAAAACTTTCTGGATATTAAAAATTAAAAACCTGGTTCAAAGTGCTATCTGGAGGAAATGGATTTCAGGTTCACGTAGCAGAATGGAAGAGCAAGCAGGCAGAGGACTGGCACCCAAAGATCCAGGGGAATTTTTTTCAATGAGTAACTGAAAGCACCATAATAATATAAATATTATATTATTCTTCAGAGGGAATAACTGAAGAAAAAGAAAAACAAAAGCCCACTCTTCTTTTAATACACTCCTAAGACCAGATAACATCAAGCTGTTGTGCATAAACTTTAAAGCCAAAATGCCTTATTTCAAATTCTGGCTCTGCTTCCTACAGGCGATGAGAATTTAGGCACTTGAGTTTCCTACCAGTGGTCAGCAAACTCATTAGTCAACAGAGCCAAATATCAACAGTACAATGATTGAAATTTCTTTTGAGAGCCAAATTTTTTAAACTTAAACTATATAGGTAGGTACACTGTTATTAACTTAATTAGGGTACTCCTAAGGCTTAGGAAGAGCCACACTCAAGGGGCCAAAAAGCTGCATGTGGCTCGTGAGCCACAGTTTGCCGACCACAGATCTATACAATTGTTATTATGGCAAAAGATTATTCTGAGAATTGAGTGACCTAATATATGTAAAGAGGTGAGCATTAGCAGGCACAGAATGATAACTAGTCACTGTGAGCTCTTATAATTGGTGGTGGCAGTAACCACCTACCCTGACTTCTACTCTGAATTTCATCACTTGTCACCTTGAGGAACTTGTTGGGGCCAGTGTCACCAATGGTCATCTTTGTATGGGAAAGAGGAAAAATGAAGGTTTTAACTGTGCATTTTTCTTTAACAATCTACAGAGCAGTTATGGCAAAATGTTAAAACTAGTTAAATATAGATGATATCACACATTTGTTATAGTATTCTCTGTATTTGACGTATTTTACAGATAAATTATTGAAAGTGGGGTCTTGCTCTGGTCAAGGATGACAGCATGTTCTGCACTGAGTCCAATAAACTCAGTTCCGTGTATCCAAGATACAAAAGAAAACAAGGGGCAGAACCTGGGCGGAGGGTGAGGAGTGAGCTTGAAACAGCAATGAA